GAGCCAGGGACAGGACCCAGCCTGGGCTGGTCAGAGCCAGGGAAGCACATGGGAGTCAGGAGGGGGGAGCCCCAGTGGCCTTGCATTGCCTGTCCCCCCACTACGCCCCCCCCCCACCCCAACTAGCGTCCTGCCCCGCTGCCCACAGCACCCCCTGGTGGGCAAGGTCAGGGACTGCACCAAGAAGGGACAGGAGAGGTGGGGGGTAAACTCAGACCCCTTGCAAACCCCAGGGCTCCCACCCCCACCCCATGCTCCTGCGCCCTTGCCAGCCGCGGCCTGGGAAGCTGGATAAACTAATCGCTGGACCACAACGCGCGCCACACCCATCAGCGACGCCCCCCATGTGCTTCCCCGCCCTTCCCTCCCCTCCCCCATTACAGAGCGTCCCATTCACCTGCACCCAGAGGGGGTGTTGCCTGAGACACGGCCTTCAGCATTTGTCCCAGTGTAGAGAGGGTGGGGTCAGGTGGAACGGTGTAGAAACACCTTTACCCTCAGCAGTGCAACAGACATTGTTACTGCTAGTGCAACACACAGTGTTAGCAACGCCGTTACCTTCAACAACACTACAAACGCTGTTCCTGCTAGTGCTACAGATGGTGTTAGCAACACCGTTACCCACAACTGCACTACAAACACTGTTCCTATTAGTGCTGCAGGCGGTGTTAGCAACACTGTTACCCTCAACAGTGCGCAGACACAGTTACTACTCATGCTACAACCATTAGCAACATCAATACCCTCCACAATGCTACAGACCCCATTACTGCTAGCGCTACACAGTGTTAACAACACCGTTACCCTCCACAATGCTACAGACCCCATTACTGCTAGCGCTACACAGTGTTAACAACACCGTTACCCTCCACAATGCTACAGACACCATTCCTGCTCATGCCACACACAGTGTTAGCTACACTGTTACTGCTCACGCTGTTGCCAGAAATACTCCAAACCGTTATCACTCACGTTGTTGCTACTGCTACAACAAATAGTATCATTAACATCACCACAAACACGGTGATAGTGAACTTCGTCACTCATACTCCAAGACTGTTACCCCAATGCTGGGAACACCGTAATCCCCTGATTTATGCTACTGACACTGTCACTAATTGTAAGAACGCGGTAGCCACTGATGTTATAACCACTAATCCTACAAGTAACATCACCATAACCCCGTCACTGCTCCCAATAATACAGCCATCCCTGCCACTCCAGTTGTTACCTCTGATTCTCCAGTCACGACCCACATTGTAAGCACCATTACTACTTACCGTTATTACTCCAATTGTTACCACTGTTACTCCAAAGAGTTACTAGCCAGAGGGTACCACCAATACACCAGAGAGTTACTAGTGAAATCAATGCCACTAATACTGCAAGTAATTACTACTAACATTGTCACAAGTAATACTCCAAAAAGTTACTAATGGTCCAAAGGGTCACTACTCACACTGATACCACTAATACTGCAAAGAGTTACTAATACTCTAAATGGCTACTATGGACACAGCCAGTATTCCCAAGTTAATACTCAAATGGACATCACTAATACTCCAAAGAGTTACTAGTCACATCAATAACATTATTGTGCCAGTTATTAATACTCCAACTAGCTACTACTTGAATCAATACCACTAATACTCCAACGAGTTACTAGTCAAATCGATATCACTAACACTCCAAAGAATTACTAATGCTCCAAATGGTTACTACTCAAATCAATACCACTAATACACTATGGAGTTACTACACAAATTGCTAACATCAATACTCCAAAGAGTCACTACTCAAATAGATCCCACTAATACTCCAGCTAGTTACTACTCAAGTTGATATCACTCATATGCCAGAGTTACTCAAATCAATTCCATTAATACTACAGACAACCTGAGTACTTACAATCGTTACCACTAATTCCAGGATCAATGTTACTCCTCAAATCCTCCCCAATAGTAGGCACCGCCGCTGCTATTCGCCTTGTTCCTGAGATTTCTATCCCTGTTAACACCTCCGACTTGCGCTGCTCTGTCCAGTGGCCAATTTCTCTCCAAAAAGAAAGAGATCGTTCACATTTCCAGAGCAACTTTTCAACACTTAAGAGGAGGAGGAGCCTCCCAGCTACTCAGACAAGGAATAGCCACTGGAAGACAGTCACCTCTGGCTTTGAAGTCGGAAAATTGCAGTCAGGATTCCTGGGTTCCCTCCCCGGCTCTGGGAGGGAAGTGGGGTCTAGTGGTCAGAGCAGGGGGGGGGCTGGGAGCCCGGACTCCTGGGTTCTCTCCCCAGCTCTGAGAGGGGAGTGGGGGCTGGTGGTTAGAGCTGGGGGGGCTGGGAGCCAGGACTCCTGGGTTCTCTCCCTGGCTCTGGGAGGGGAGTGGGGGCTGGTGGGTTAGAACAGGGGGGGCTGGGAGCCAGGACTCCTGGGTTCTCTCCCCAGCTCCGGGAGGGGAGTGGGGGCTGGTGGGGGAGGGCTGGGTGGCAGGACTCCTGGGTTCTCTGCCCGGCCCTGGGAGGGGAACAGCTGGCCAGCTGGCACCGGGAGGGAGGCCACAGGTTCAGGCTGGGACAAGCCAAGTTCTGGCAGGTCAGGACGCCCCGGGCTGAGTCCCGCACGTGGCGGGCCCCACATCACTCACCCTGGGAGCGGCGCGGAGGGTCCCGGCGCGGGCGGCGGAGCGGGCGGACTGGGGGAGCCGGGCGGGGCGCAGGCTGGGAAGGGATCAGGTTACCATTGCATCAGATCCCCGGGCCACGCTGCCGGGGCACATCCGGCTGTGGGAGGGGACCGGACCCGCTGGGGGCCCGGACTCCTGGGTTCTATTCCCCGGGGAGGGGAGTGGGGGCTGGTGGGCTACAGCAGGGAGGGGCTGGGAGCAGGACTCCTGGGTTCTCTACCAGCTCTGGGAGGGGAGTGGGGTCCAGTGGTTACAGCAGGAGGGTGTCCTTTTAATCCAGTTCCCCTTTAGGACCCTGCCTCGGTTTACCCTGAATCACCCTAGTCCGTTGTTGTTAAAAAATCCCACTGTGGCCATTGATTCCCCGGGCTTAAAAACCCCCCCGATCTCCCGGAAACACGCGGCAACCCTCAGCCCTGGCCGGGTTAGAAACTGACAGAGCCGGAGCCGCCCAGGCCAGGAGGGACCCCTGGAGATGTCAGGCCTGGAGGGACCCTAGGGAGCCCCTGGAGACGCCCAGGCCAGGAGGGATCCTAGGGAGCCCCTGGATACACCCAGGCCAGGAGGGACCCTAGGGAGCCCCTGGAGACACCCAGGCCAGGAGGGGCCCCTGGAGACGCCCAGGCCAGGAGGGATCCTAGGGAGCCCCTGGATACACCC